TGGCTGATTTCAAATCATTTGGTGATCTTTTGAGATCCTTTTGAGGCTCATCCAAAACTATCTTTGAAGGGTCTTAGAGAGCTCTATTGATCTTGGCATGGCTCTGTACATTTATTTCAGGTACTTGTATAGCGCCATCAATTTACGCAGTGCTTTACATATATATTGTACATTCACATCAGTCCCTAACCCTCAAGGGGTGTACAATCTAAGGTCCCTAACTCACATTCATACATACACATACTAGGGCCATTTTAGACAGGAGCCAATTAACCTACACATTAGACTTCAAAAGTATATAGAACAGAGATGCTAGATATGTTTTTTTTTTGTTTTTTCTTTATGCAAACCCTACTTGCAGAGGATGATTTGAGCATCGGATTGTAATACAAAGGGATAACATTTATAACTACATCGCATTTCCAAATTTCTCCACACATAAATGAGCATTGAGATTTCTTCACACAGGATCAAAAGACAGATGTACTTCAGATACTCCGTTATGTAAGAAGATAAATATTCTAACATACTGTTCAACTTAGAACTTAACCTACACAGAGCTGCGTAAGTAAACTGTCTGGTGCAATTACTGCACACAAATCTAGCTCTGGTTACCAACTATGGCAAGACCGTTTTCAAGAACTAAGAGAGAAAAAGGGTAGCAGAAAGTAGTAAGAGAAAAAGAGAGGAAAAAAGGGGGGGATAGGAAAGTTGTTGTTCACATCTCCAGATTGGGTTCCTTGGGGAAATATGCCCACTTTACAGGTCATGTCTCAAACTGACCTTGACCTTCCTTAAATATTTATCCATGCAGGTAAAGTATCTCAAGGTCCTCCACCTTTCTCTGAAAGCCTCCTCCATGTTGTGAAGAGTAGCCGTTAAGTCCTTCAAATGGAGAATATCGTATTGACTTGGGAATTACAGTGACCTAGTTGGAGGTCGTGTTTGCTTCGACATAACTGGGATGCAAGCCTTTGTCGCATTCACCAAGTGGATAGTAAGAGAAGCCTTGTACTTTCGGACGGGCTTCTCCGTGAGGTGGAGCAAACAGGCTGATGGGTTCTCCCTCAGGTCTACTGACGTCAATTGTTCAATTGTGGCTGTCATGTCCTCCCAGAAGGGGCGCAGTCTAGGACAGAACCAGAAAATATGAGCCAGTGTACCAGCGTCTTGAGAACAACACCAACAGGTGTCTGGAATGTTAGTCAATTTTGTTGAGTATATATGTGACTCGTATCATATAGCAGTATCTTTTATCCTATTTCCTGATAATTGTTTGCTATGGAAGATTTGAGTCAGAAGGAAAATCTTGCTTACCTGTTTTGGCATAAGTCATTCCTAGATCAGTTTCCCAATGATGCACAAATGCTGGAGAGGCATCATCGGAAGACGCAGTTAGGAAACTGTATAGGAGTGAAAGTATGTGTCTGGAAGGTGCTTCTTTCCAACACAAAGGGTAAAGGTCTGTAGAGCGGAAAATACCGACTGAGTTACTTGGATCAAGGTTCCAATTGTTGGGTGGGTCTATACCTCGACTGGAAGCAGGAGGTTAGCCAAGGTATTCCCTGGAGAGGATTGATTAGTGTCCTTTCCCTTCATGGCCACCCACTGTTTCTTGTCCTCATTACAGTGCCAGTCAACAATTCTCATGAGGTGAACCGCCTGGCAATAGCATGCTATATCTGAAAGGCCTAAATCCCCTCTAACCTTGGGTGAGAGAGAGGCTGGAATTTTAACCTAGATGGCTTGTGGGACCATAGAAATTCCTGAAACAAGAAAGTGGATGCATTTATAGAAAGGTAGAGGAATGTTCACAGGTAAGGCCAGAAACAGAGAATCTGTGGGAGTATAGTCATTTTCAGGGCGTTGGACTACCCAAACCATGTTAACGTCAGCGCATGCCATTTTTCAGGTCTCAAGTAATGTTTTGAAGTAGGGGGACAAAGTTCGCCTGATAAAGATCCGCAAGATTGTTGGTAATCTTGGTAACCAAATATGTAATTGATTGTTCTGCCCAGTGGAAAAAGAAATGATCAGAGAGAGGTTTGAAGATCCTGGGGTGAGATTCTGATGTCGAATGCCGCTGATTTAGCCAAGTTTATTTTGAAATTTGAGAGCCCCCCCATAATGATACGCAATTCCCTCAAAATATTAGGTAGGGTCATACTCGGGCGAGTAACAAAGAATATCAGATGCTAGATGAGCTTTGAATAAGGCAGATTCACTTGCATGACCTCTAAGCAGGGTCTAATAATTGACATCTAATCCGGAATACCAGATTCTATTTTTATGGATTTGAAGTGGTGTTAAATGTAGTGGTGTTTTTAGTTTGTCAATATATCATCTGCAATTTTGATTATTTAGAGCAGGGGTCTCCAAACTTTCTAAGCAAAGGGCCAGTTTATTTCCATTTATTTTTTAGGGGGTTCGGACTGTGGCCAGTGGCAGTAGAAAATGGTATTAGGTGAGAAAGATAGTGTCCCATGATTGGTATCAGTGAGAAGATAATGTCCCGATGATGGTATAGTGGGATTAGTCCCATGATTGGTATCAGTGGGAGGAATAGTGCCCCATCATTGGTGTCAGTGGGAGGAATAGTGCCCCATCATTGGTATCAGTGGATCAGTGGGGAATAGTGAATAGTGCCCCATCATTGGTATCAGTGGTATCAGTGGAATATAGTGCCCCATCATTGGTATCAGTGGAAGGAATAGTGCCCATCATTGGTATCAGTGGGAGGAGGAATAGTGCCTCATCATTGGTATCAGTGGAAGGAATAGTGCCCCGTTCATTGGTGTCAGTGGGAGGAATAGTGCCCCATCATTGGTATTCAGTCAGTGGAGGAATAGTGCCCCATCATTGGCGGGAAGGAATATCCCCAGGTGTGGAAGGAATAGTGCCCCATCATTGGTGTCAGTGGGAGGAATAGTGCCCATCATCATCAGTGGGAGGAATGTGCCCCGTCAGTGGGGAGGAATAGTGCCCCATCATTGGTATCAGTGGAAGGAATATGCCCCAGTCAGTGGGAGGAATAGTGCCCCATTGGTATCAGTTAGTGCCCATATTGGTATCAGGGGGAGGAATAGTGCCCCATCATTGGTATCAGTGGAAGGTCCAATCATTGGTAATAGTGCCCCATCATTGTGCCCCATATCAGTGGGAGGAATAGTGCCCCATCATTGGTATCAGTGGGAGGAATAGTGCCCCATCATTGGTATCAGTGGGAGGAATAGTGTCCCCATCATTGGTATCAGTGGGAGGAATAGTGCCCCATCATTGGTGTCAGTGGTGAGGAAATAGTGCCCCATCATTGGTGGTCAGTGGGAGGAATAGTGCCCCATCATTGGTGTCAGTGGGAGGAATAGTGCCCCATCATTGGTATCAGTGGGAGGAGGAATAGTGCCCATCATTGGTATCAGTGGGAGGAATAGTGCCCCATCATTGGTATCAGTGGGAGGAATAGTGCCCCATCATTGGTATCAGTGGGAGGAAATAGTGCTCCCATTGGTATCATTGGGATATCAGTGGAGAGGAATGTGCCCCATCATTGGTATCAGTGGGAGGAATAGTGTCCCATCATTGGTATCAGTGGGAGGAATAGTGCCCCATCATTGGTATCAGTGTGGGGTAGGGAATAGTGCCCCATCATTGGTATCAGTGGGAGGCCCCCATCATAGTGCCCCATCATTGGTGTCAGTGGGAGGAATAGTGCCCCATCATTGGTGTCAGTGGGAGGAATAGTGCCCCATCATTGGTGTCAGTGGGAGGAATAGTGTCCTATCATTGGTATCAGTGGGAAGAATAGTGTCCTATCATTGGTATCAGTGGGAGGAATAGTGTCCCATCATCGGTGTCAGTGGGAGGAATAGTGTCCCATCATCGGTGTCAGTGGGAGGAATAGTGTCCCATCATCGGTGTCAGTGGGAGGAATAGTGTCCCATCATCGGTGTCAGTGGGAGGAATAGTGCCCCATCATTGGTATCAGTGGGAGGAATAGTGCCCCATCATTGGTATCAGGGGGAGGAATAGTGCCCCATCATTGGTATCAGGGGGAGGAATAGTGCCCCATCATTGGTATCAGTGATAGGAATAGTGCCCCATCATCGGTATCAGTGGAAGGAATAGTACCCCATCATTGGTGTCAGTGGAAGGAATAGTACCCCATCATTGGTGTCAGAGGAAGGAATAGTGCCTCATCATTGGTGTCAGTGGGAGGAATTTAATTTAACAGCATTAAGAAATCTCTCCAAAGTAAGGGGATATTCTTTCTTAGACTGTTGTTGTCAAAGTATATGTGTGTATGTAATTGAAAAAAAAAAATCTATTTTTTTTTGTTTACTATATATTACTGGATATCTGGGTGGTCAACTCTGGACCTTGTATGGGATGATTATCGGCAGATATATCCAAATGCATGTGACCTTTTCCTGATGTTGATCTGCCCGTGTGTAAGCTGTAGAGGTTGCCCTTCTATATGCCCCACTTTAACTGATTTGTCATTTCTCATTACAGAGCTCCCTTGTCTGGACAGGATGGGCTGGATGTTTCTGATCGTTCTCCTGAGCCTTTCGGCCCCAAGAGCCAGCTGTGCAGATTGTGTGTCCTGGTGCTTCTCCTGTGCCATGCAGCTACGCTTCACTAGTACCCACTTAAACCCATTGGTAGGTTTCCTATTTAGGGGTTGATGCAGAATACATTGTGGAAATTTATAAATGGGAAGAACTGCGGTTATTTTAAGACATGGCCAGAATAAAATAGCATTCTAACTACATTGCCTAAGCAACTTTGTAAAGGAAACAAAATGTGTAAAAGCATTGCTGGTGTCGTATGTTGGTAGTCACAGACCAACTGGGCAATGGCAGTATAGGAGATTTTAGCACTGCTTTAATATATTTTTTTTCCAAGATAGATCAGCTGAGAGTGTCTTGTTGCCCATGACTACTAAAAGGCTTCCAACTGCTATCTTTACAGTCCAGACTTGCAAGTGTCACGAAATCTGCTTCCCATTGGCCTCAAGGATTTTGTGACGCTTTTTTATGCATAAGGTTCCTTTAGGTTTGGTTTACACTGCTGTAACCCCAAAGTCGTGCGACGGCACCCATTGAAACAAATGTTTCTGTGACTTAATGTGTCTCAAGTCGCATGCAGGGGCGGACTGACCATTTGGAAACTCGGGCACTGCCCAAGGGCCGGGGGTCAGTAGGGAGCCCATGAGATGCCCCTGGTTCCTTTTTCATAGGCTTTTTTGAGTTTGGTCAAGGACACGGGCCCCATGATCCCCTATTGCCCAGGGGCCCCATGAGTTTTCAGTCCACCCCTGGTCGCATGATAAGTCGCAGCAGTGTGAACCGGCCTTAAAACAAGCTGTATTCACTGTCAGATCTAAGAATGTCTGCGTTTTTTAGGCCATGCTTCTCCAGCAGATAACAGAACTAAAGTTTTCACTGTGAATCTGTTACAGGTCTGCTCTTTACAGTGTGAAGGGTCCCTGTCATCTGTTACAGAGTGGGAACGGTGTGAAGCAATCCTTTCTCCTTTTGGAAGCACTCTTGAAATCTCCAAAAGGGAACAGGAGCGAGTACCCACCTCTGCAGATTCTCAAGAGGTGCCAGAGAAACGCTACGGAGGGTTTATGAAAAAACTGGATAAGAACAAGTTCTTCTTCAGCTCTCCAAAACGAGAGAGCAGCGTCTTTCGAGGTGAGGATGGCAAGGCCTTTGGCGGTCTCCTACGCAAGTATGGAGAGAGAGACATCATGGAAATAGCTGACCCAGATCAGGAAACGGAGATCAGTGAGGAATCAGAAGAGCACAACCAAGCATGGAGCACAAAGGATGAGAAAAAGCGTTATGGGGGCTTCCTACGCAAGTACCCCAAGAGAAGTTGGGAGAATGGACAGGGTGCAGACTTGAAGAGGAGATTCATAGATCCAGAGATTTCCCCAGACCAAGGGGTGGAGGAAATGGAGACGGAGCAGGGAGTAGAAACCGAGCATGGAGTGGCAGAACTTCAGAAACGCTATGGTGGGTTCATGCGCAGGATCCGGCCCAAGTTAAAGTGGGACAATCAGAAGAGGTATGGTGGATTTCTCAGGCGTCAGTTTAAGGTCATAGCAAGATCAGAAGAGGAGCCCAGCACCTTTTCAGGGGAGTTGTCTGATCTTTAAGATATAGTCATGTGTGCTGAAGGTAACCAGGAGGTGGTGGAAGGAGAAAAACCAGCTCAGATCTTTAATTACTACTCCCTTCACTTCTCATTTCTTTAGTTAAAGTGGACCTGTTTCCGGTACACAGCCAGAGCAGACCTTCTGTGGGCTGAATCAAATTTGCAGCCCCAGCTCACATGAATTTCCAGCTAGTAGGCCACCTAATCAGTTCACAAAATGACTCCAAGGAATTTTGGCTTCTGCTGCTGATCCCTTCTGTTAATGCAAAATACCTGGCTGTTATGCTTGATCCAATGGTGTCACTACAGGAACAAGCATGCCAACCAGACTTCATTGGCCACATGCTTGTCTCGGGTCAATGAGTGAGAAAATACTAAAGCCAGAGGAGGTCAGCAACGGCATCCTACGCAATTTTCTCTGGTTTCCCCTAAAGGAAGAAGTTATATCCAGTAGCCTGAAATCCATGCCACCGAAAGACTGTAGAAAGCGCGCATGCGCTCAGAATATTTAAAGCAGCAGTCTACCCAACAAGGATATTGTAATACGTGTAGTAAGCTGTACATTACATTGGCCAGCATTGCTGTCTCCTCTTCTGCAGGTGTTGATGTAATTGAACAATTTTAGAAAACTCTTAAGTTTCTTCTTCCCAGTTAAAGATTTAGGTTGCGTCTTAAAACAGATGCAAGTTCTCAATTGACAGCAAACTTTTTTGTCATTACTAATGCTACATATAGGCAGATGAGACAGCCAGTCATAAAATGGTGAGGGGGAAAAAAAAAAAAAAATCAGTTTCGACAGTTGCAGTCCGGCGATAGTTGATTGCACCTGTTTTAAGGGTCCACTTAGGAAGTAGTAGATGGCATTTAAAGACAGGACAGGTCTGTTTAATTGTGTTCCAGTGACTGCTTTTTCCACCACCTCCCACCCAGCCCTCCTCTCCTGCACTTGACACCCTCCTTTTGACTCCGATGGATGAAATTGTACAGCTGTTTTTTTTTTTTTTTTTTTTCTCCATATACTGCTACCAACAAAAAGACACCATCTTCTCTTTTTATTTCTTTCCTCCGTACAGTTAACGAACCGATGCCTCCTCTGCATTCTGTGAATCATCCTAGACAAAGTATCTCAAGTCCAGCAAGTCCTTGTAACTATGTGAAGAAATAGATGACTTTATTGCTCTTAATAATAAATTAATTTTGTGTTCAGTCATTTTCTGTGTGTGGATTTTGTGGCATCTTATCTAGAAGATCATTTTTCTAGACTTGGTTGGGTCAAAGGGTTTTCGTACTTACAACTACATGCAACTGGTAAAATCATTGACTGAACTGTAATGAGTTGCAGGGTACATTGTCGGAAAATGTGAAAACTATCCCTTGCCTTAGGTCTGTGCCAGCACTGCAAAGGGTAAACACTCATTTACTGCAGGTCTAGGGAACTTGTCAAAGTAAATTTACTTACCCATTCCTTCACTCCTCCATGCTGCTGTTTCAATCCCTGTAGCGCCTTCTCCCCTTTGCCGCTGCAGTCTAAGGTCCTGATCAAGACCAGTGCAGGGTCCGTAGCCCTGCACAGTGATGACGCTGATGGACAACCCATTGTTAGGGTGTGGGGGAATGCCATCTGCTGGGGGGAGTGGAGGACTAGGTAGGTAAAAGGGGTTCTCCTCTCACCTAGACCATACAAGCTGATAACCCTTGCAGTATGGGCACACTTCAAGGGGTAATTGTGTAGTTTCCCAGCTTTGGAATATATACGTTTTCTTTTTTCTTTTTTTTTAGTCCATATGTAAAAATGATCCACTTGATGTAATTAACATTATCAATATGTAATACATTATTTACAAGCCTTGTTATTATACAGTATTTATATAGCGCCAAAGGGTATGCTCAGCGCTGTACAGTAGCAAGGGGGACAGAACATGAGACAAGACAGTAACAATACACTACACGAGGGGTTCGAGGGCTCTGCTCTTTCGAGCTTACAATCTAGGAGGGAGGGGAAGGTGGCACAGGAGGAGATGGCTGTGGGGGATGGAGTGGTGGGAGGAGTGGAGGAGGTTAGTTGTTAGGTGAGGTCGGGTGTTAGGTGAGGTTGGGGTAGGCTTCCCTGAAGAGGAGGGTTTTCAGGGTGCGCCTGAAGGTGAGGAGGGTAGGTGACAGTATGATGGATTGGGGTAGGGAGTTCCAGAGGATGGGGGAAGTCCTGGAGAAGTCCTACAATCGGGCGTGGGAGGAGGAGACCAGGGAGCTAGAGAGCAGGAGGTCCTGTGAGGAGCGGAGGGCACGGATAAGGTAGTATTTGGGTATCAGGTCAGTTATGTAGTTCGGGGCGGCGTTGTGAATGGCTTTGTAGGTCAGAGTTAGCAGTTTGAATTTGATGCGTTGGGCAATCGGGAGCCAATGAAGGGATTGGCAGAGGGGGGAGGCAGATGTTGAGCGATTGGTGAGGTGGATGTTTTTGTATCCAGTTTATAATTTTATAAGGTAGGTACAGTAGCAGCCATATTCACTCATTACAAATGTAGGCGGCACTTCTGCTTTTCAGCACTACACAGTGGTTGTGCTTTACTGCTCCTTCATCTATAGATCAGGTGACTCATAGATACCCGTACCCTGCCTGTATGGCGTGTAACTTATCTCAACAGTTGTTGAACATTTTATATTATAGTGGCAAACCTTTATTGCTTCTGGTGGCAAATGTTCCATTCTAAAAAGAAAAATCTGATAGAGCAAGTCTGAAAAACATGAACATAATTTCAGAAATGATGTACTAATGAATCCAAGTACACTTTCATTTTAATCCATCCAGATACATGTGGTTTTTCCCTATGGTTTTGTGCGGGACTGTATTCATGTTTTTTCTGTTTTGGGTCTGCAGTACTGAAAATTTTAATTCAGGGCTCTTCAAGTGGTTGATAACCCTTGCATAGGGGTGGACTGACCATTCAGGCACTTGGGTACTGCCCGAGGGCCCGGTGTTAGTAGGGGGCCCCATGAGATGCCCCTGGTACCTTTCATAGGCTTTTTTGGGTGTGGTTTGAGTTTGGGCGAGGACACGGGCCCCATGATCCCCTATTGCCTGGGGGCCCCATGAGTTCTCAGTCCGTCCCTGCCCTTGCATATACAAAGTGAAGTGACTAGCCTCAGGTGATGTACATAGATGAAGTAAATCTTCCTACATAGGTTGTACCTGTATATCTGTAGCCCCCATTTCTCTACAGCCTCCTAAATCACACATTTTACAAAGCATTTCTGAGTTCCAGAAGGCAGAGTCATGGATCTGATGTCACACTGCACAGCACAGAGCAGGATGCTGAGTGTAATCGGAGACCTGAGTGGAGGGAATGGGTACACACCCCTCTACACAGTCTGTTTGGGAAACATGCACAGCTGAAGGGGATAGCTTGGTGTCAGCATAGACGCTCAAAAGTGACTCATGCAGACAGCAGAGGAATGACAGAGCAAACACAAATCACACTAGCTGCTTTGGAGCACGGCAAGTACATACTATAGAAGGATTTGCTTTGTTCATTTTTTCATTGCAGAGGTTTGCAATCATTTTCAGTAAGGGAGGATACCGACTTCTACGGGGATTTAACAAGAAGACCCACCAGCTGGTGAAGATTGCAGAGCATTGGTATGTGTGCATTTTTCATCCTTGACTGGGGTTTACATTTAGTCTGTTGCCTTTTGAAGCTCTCCTAAGTCTCAGTTCACACTACTGCGACCTGAAAATCACGCGTCTTACAGTGCGACCTTACCAGACGACTTCCTGGCAACTTGAGTACTACTTTGATGTGACTTAGAAGCGACTTTCAAGGAATGCCTGGTGTAATCTTCCTGTAATGTCAGGTCCAAATCACACCAATATGGATGAGGAGGCGACTAGCATTAAAGTCTATGGGCACAAGTCGGATAGAAGTCGCCTTGAAGTAGTACAGGAACCTTTTCTAAAGTTGGAGCAACTTCATTAGTTTTAATTAAAGCAGCTCTCATTGACTAACGTGGGTTTCCACATGTCATGCCACTTGGGGGTCTCACAAGTTGGATCCAAAGTCACGGCAGTGTGAACCAAGCCTTACTGAAGGTTTCCTTTTGTTACAACCTTTGTTTCAGTTTTTTTTTTTTTTTTAACTCTGCTCCCATTTCCACTGTTCTGGAATATTATAAAAAGAACCCAAACTGTACAGAAAGGGGAAGTTTTTTTAGATTTATTCAAATGTAGAATTTCTGTTTAGGGAGTTTTCAGTTGCAGTGTAGCCGAAGGCAACCCAGTCTGCAAACTGGAAGCAAAACATGCGTCCGCCAAAGACAAAACTCAGTCTTTTTAAAAATAACCGCATTTAACTTCCATTTCCTTGTGAATTCGATGCAATTTCTTTGCAACCATAATCAGTTTTATTTATTTTATCTCTCAGGGCAATGTGAAAGAAAATTTTCTTGGCTGCAAAATACACAAAGCTAGTTTCACTTTACTTCCCTGACTTGCCACACCCATTTGCTATTCGTTGTCCATTAGGGCTCGTTCACACTTGACTGTTTTTCCAACTCTTGCCAAATGCCCCTATAGCGTTTGACAAGCGTTGGTCTGGCGTTTGCGGAGCGTTTTTAACGCTCCGCAAACGCCGCATGCGCGGTTCAGCGGCAGTTGCTAGGCGTTTGCCAAGCATTAAAAACGCCCCACAAATGCCTATAATGAAGTTTGAATGGTGTTAATGCTCCGCAAACGCCGGCCGGGCATTTGCGGAGCAGCACCATAGACTTGAATAGGAGGCTTCAACTCCTCCTGACTCGACCAGAGGTGCCGTTTTGCCACAACGCTAACGCTCTCGTTTGAACAGCACCATGTGCTGCAATGTGCAGAATTTTCCCAGGCGTTTGGGAAACGGTAAAAACGCTTCAAAACGCCTGTCTGCCGCTTGCTAACATGGCTAGTGTGAACCAGGGGTGGACTGACAACTCATGGGGCCCCCGGGCAATAGGGGATCATGGGGCCCCTGT